CACCACCCCCTCCCGATCCCCCCTCACCGCCGCCCTCGAGCCTGACCTTCGCTATCGCGGCGGCGAGCTCCATCTCCTCCCTCACGTTGCGCTGCTGCTCCTGGCTCTGTCTCACTGGCGACGGCAGAGAAGGCCGACCTCCGGTCTCCCTCTCCTCCCCGGGGACCGCTTCCCAACCGCGAGTTCCGGCTTCAATATCGCCCGTCGATCCTCCCCTCAGGGCGTCACTCGGAGGGCCCTCTCTCTCCCCCTGGGACGACCAAGCCCCGGTCTCCTTGGGGACGAGCGTGTAGGCACCACCGTGGTGCCCGTCATCTTGGAGGCCTTCGTGCCCCCCATCGCCCGCACGATCTTGCAGCGACGAGAGAAAGGCCGCCGCCGATTCCGCGGCCACGGCAGGCGGCGGCGGCGGCGGCTCCGCTGCGTGGGCTTCTGCTTCCGCACAAGCGCGAGAGCGCTTCCCCGCCGTGCGTGCGGCAGCATCACCCGGCGCTCTCGAGGCGTCGTCATCATCGGAGCTACAAGAGCACGCCCTCCACGTCTCGCCGTCCGCCGCCGCCGCAACGCTGCCCGACCCGAGCTCACCGTCCCTTCTGCTACCGCCGCCGATCCCGCCGTCCAAGCGGAAGTCCGGGATACACCCCGCGGACAAGGGCTTGTCATCCAGGTGCCGGTACGGGGACGGAACGGTCCAGGAACGGTCGCGCGAGGGGGGCGTCGCCCCCCCCGGGGCCCCGTCGCTTACCGCTGAAGGGACCCCCCCTTCTGTCCCCCCCCCGGCGGTCGCACCGTCATCATGATCATCATGATTATGGTCATCAAACCGGGCCGCCCAGCCCCACGGGTTGTCCGCGCGCGCTCCCAACGTCTTCGGCGGTGCCGGTGCCGGCGCCGGCGCCAGCGCCGGCGCCGCAATCGCCTCGGTGGAAAGAGAAGGCGGTATTGATGGGAACGGCGGGGATGGCGGCTCCGCGAGCGCCGTGTGAGGCGAGGACGCTAATGGTGGTGGCACGAGGGAGGAGGAAGAGGCCCCACAGGCGAGAACGTGCTTGATCTCATCCTCCAAGGATGGGTCCTAACAAGAGAGGACCGAAAACAGGAGGGATAGAAAACGGGCAAGACCACTTCAGAAACGAGGCATGGTGCAGTACGAACAAAATGTGTTTGTCAGTCGCGAAGTGGGGAGGGGGAGGTTCTCTGGCGCTGCCGGGGGGGGGGGTTCTGGTGGTTCCAGTCCATGCACGCAACCTTCGGTGGTACGGGGGAGATGCATATTCGTTACTACGGGCAGCTGTTTGTTTGGTTGTGCGGGCGCACAGGCAGAAGGTCCTGCTATTGAAGTACATAGAACGTATCAGGAAGTGAACGCGATACAGCAATGACCCACTTTTAAATTCCAAATGGCCGGGACGCTCGCCCATCACCTCTGCAATTCGCATGCGCCGCCACAAGAAACACCAAACAGCTGTCCCCGCTTTGAGGCTACCATTTTCTCAGAAGCATGGCGATGCCCCGCAGAATGTAAAAATAGGGGGGAGGGGGGGGGGGGAAAGGACACTCCCCCGCTTTAAGAATACTCTTCTGAAGAAAACCGTGAGCGACCCTTCAGCGAGGACGATTCTAGAAGAGAGAGAGGTTCCTAGACACCTATGTATGCGGTACACACTCCCTTCTCACAAAGACAACTCCCGCGTGCCGACAAGCCTCCGCCATCCTCTTCAACACGCTCTCCGGTTTTGTCGTCGGCGTCGTTTCCGCAGAGCCCCTCTTCATCCCCGGTGTCGCCTCGACGCCTCCAACCAGCTCCTCCAAGCCTGGCCGCCCTTCAAACATCGCGGGTCGTTCGGAGTTGGTTGAAGCAACTGGGGTAAAGGCAAGCGCTGCGCTGGGAGGCGGCGGCTGCGGCGGCGAAGAGAGCGGCGAGTGCAACGGCTGGCGCAGTTGCGGCGGCAGCAGCAAGGCCGNGGGGGGGGGGGGGGGGGGGGGGGGGGGGGGGGGGGGGGGGGGGGGGGGGGGGGGGGGGGGGGGGGTAAAGGACACTCCCCCGCTTTAAGAATACTCTTCTGAAGAAAACCGTGAGCGACCCTTCAGCGAGGACGATTCTAGAAGAGAGAGAGGTTCCTAGACACCTATGTATGCGGTACACACTCCCTTCTCACAAAGACAACTCCCGCGTGCCGACAAGCCTCCGCCATCCTCTTCAACACGCTCTCCGGTTTTGTCGTCGGCGTCGTTTCCGCAGAGCCCCTCTTCATCCCCGGTGTCGCCTCGACGCCTCCAACCAGCTCCTCCAAGCCTGGCCGCCCTTCAAACATCGCGGGTCGTTCGGAGTTGGTTGAAGCAACTGGGGTAAAGGCAAGCGCTGCGCTGGGAGGCGGCGGCTGCGGCGGCGAAGAGAGCGGCGAGTGCAACGGCTGGCGCAGTTGCGGCGGCAGCAGCAAGGCCGCCACTGCCTTTGCCGCGCTCGCTTGTGTGCCCTGTGCTCCGGCCTTTTCGGTCTCTCTCTCGTAGCACTCCTCTTCCTCCTCTTCCTCCTCCTCGATCTCCTCCTCTTGGCGGGTGTCGTCTCTTCCGCCCGTCTTCCCTGCGTCACGTTGCGATCCTCCTCCCGCCCACTCCATGTGCGCCGCCTCCGCCTCCGTCGCCGCTGCCGACCGCTCCCGATCATGGTCCTCCTCGACAGCTGCCGCTACCGCCGCCGCCACCTTCCGCGGCCACGGTAGCAGCCCGGCCCGCATGATTCGGCCGGAGCCGCCGCCGCTCCTAACGCCGTCGCCCAAGAACACCCCTCGGCTCGCCGGAGTTTTGGCTGAAATGGCCGCGGTATTGGAGAAAGTATCGTTCACCTGTTGCTCGAACGACTGCGACTGTTGGATCCGCACCGCAGCGCCCACCACGTCTTCGTCTGACGAAGAAAAAAAGAAAGAAACGGCGGCGGAGGCGGCGATTCAGGGGCAACAGTAAGCGATCAAAAGCTCCAAGCAGAGGCGAAGGAGGAGACGCATAAAAATGCCAACGGCGCCGGACAGCAGTACGGCATCGCCATCGCACGCTAGCACCACAGCTCCTTGCCCTTGCCGAACACCCACACGCTCACGGGAAGGGGATGCACACGCAAGGGATACAACCAGTACGCAAAGCGCGAACCATGCGATGCCAACTCACAAGGCATGGGCGGCACCGACCAACCCTCCGCGCCATCGCTCGCGAGATCAGCTGCTCCGCCTACCGAAATGGAACGAAGGGTGGACGGGGGGAGAAGAGCACGCGCAGCTTGGTTCTCCAGAGATCGCGTTAATCAATGGTATACTGCGGCATGCACAGCTGTAAAACCGAGACCACAGCTTGGTCATCTCCGACGCTTGAAACAGACACGTACCGGCATCATACCTGCACGAGACGAGGTGGCTGTACGACAACCTGGATGAAAGAACACTGCCCAACATGCCCATTCCGCTTAGTGCTGGAGAAGACACTGCCCAACATGCCTATTCCGCTTAGTACCGCAGGGATATCCCCCCCCCTTCTATTCGGGCGCGCGGTTCCCGAGCTCCGTATTCACCACGCCGCCGAAATTCCAGCTCACCGTCTAGGGCAGAGGTCCGGTGGCCGTGCCTTCCTCGAGGGGTCACGGGGACGCTGTAGCTCAGCGGGCCAAGGGTCGGCACCTGAGGCCGACGGCGAGACGAATCCCTCCCGGTCTCATCGAACTCCATCTGCCTCGGCTCGGCACAGGAGAGAGGTGACGGGCGGGCGGATTCAGAGCTCTTGCGCGGAGTGCACGGCCATACACAGCAAGAAGTAAGCGTCATAAGACACCCACGTGGCCGGGGACAAAAGCCCGCGCGCGGGGGGGGGGGGGGA